CTGCGACTAATTTGCAACTTATATATTATCTATATAATGTCCGATTCCTGTTTATCAGTAACTTTGAGTAACCACATTTGATTAACAGTTTTAAAGATCGTTATGTCTCTTATAACTATGTCCGATTTTTCGAGCTTTCCGGTGCCTTCTATAAGACATTTATTAAGATAAACGTCCAGCCGTTGTCTTGATGATATACTACCTGGCTTCTTCTGTTATAACGAGAGGTAATCCGTCTTCGACTCTTGACTTTCTTCTGTTCACATATTCAAGGCTTTTGTGTGCTCATCGTTTATATAGAAATAGTTCATCCATTTTCCTGCTATACTACCGGCGTTAGATCATTTTATATAATATAGAGAAGGTTGGCGTCAGGAAGGACATCCGGCCATTAAAACTATCTACCAGAATCTGATCATAGCGACCCCCTATAAGAATGGGACAAAGCTATATAGCAAAAGAACACGAAGCCATGTGATTTAAAGTCGAGTGGAATGGTGCAAAAAAAATAGCCTTATTTATGATCGTGACAAAATTCGCAAAAGTCATGGGAATAAGTTTCAAAGAATCGACATGTATGTTTAACCCATGCCAACTTTTCAGTCGTTTTAGCCCATTATGAATCTTATAATTCACAAAACACGTGGTGCTTCCATCTCACCTTTCTTCTCCTTTCTTCCTTTTTTAAACTTACTATTTAATAAAAGAAGGTGAAGAGAAAAGAGTGGAGAATTCTTTTAGTCAGCAAACAATTGAAACCCTCCAAGCTGCCAAAGCAATTAACGAAAAACCTCTTGGAAAGTTTTCGTTTTAGAGTAACTTTCTGAAGGAATCTTTTAATTCAGTTTCTGCTTTTCATTTTTAAGTGTTATTATATATATATATAAATATATATATATATATATATATATATATATATATATATATATATATATATATATATATATATATATATGTATATATATATATATATGTACATAATATCCGATAGGAAATGAGCCGAGGAAAAGAAGTACGATATGTGATTGTTTTTACGATAATTGGTAAAACAAAAATAATCGATGATGATAATTATGATAATAATAATAATAATAATAATAATGATAATAATGACTATAATAGTAACATTAATATTAATGACTATAAAAACAATAATAATAATAATAGTAATGATAATAATAATAATAATGATGATAATAATAATAATGACTATAATAATTACATCAGTAATAATAACTATAATGATAATAATAATAATAACAATAATAATAATAATAATAATAATAATAATAATAACAATAACTGTAATAATAATAATATTAATAATAATAATAATGATAATAATAATAATAATAATAATAATAATAATAATAATAATAATAATGATAGCAAACAGATAAAAAAGGAGGAAGAACTTATGCACCTCTGTGTAGTGTGCACGTTTGTGTGTCTGTTCTATAGATTCTTTCCTGCTAATTTATGTTCATGAAAGAGGATTGCGCTCAAGGTCCCGTGTGCCACATTCTGATAATCGTACAATTAAAAAAAAAAACGTATACATCTAGGACATTCAGTTTTTTTCTCCAAGCTGTTCCATTACTTTTAAAAATCTAAGTTTCGTTATTTTCTTTTATTTTTTATTTATTTAATTATCTATTATTATTTTTAGTATTTGTTGCGACCTCTCGTTGATATTTCTTTTGAGTTGTTCTTTTTTTCTGGAATAGCATCGTAGAACATAATCGTGTAGACCCATTTCCTTCCTTCCTTCAGAGTTGTGAGTTTCCCTTTTCTTGTGTGTTTCCTTGTACCTCATCTCCCTTAAGTTGGAGCCTATCTAGTGGCTCCTCCTTGAATTAGTTTTCCTCCATTTTATCAATGTCCTTCTGCGAGGGGGAATCTCTGCCACAAGACAAAGAGTAGGCCTATGCGGTAGTCGTAGTCATTGGCTTTACCATGTTTTCGTGTACATACATGAAAGGCTTCTTCATGTTCTCGACTTTAGGGCACCTAATTTTCAGGAAAGAATAAACTGGGAACACCCCTACCCCTATCTGTGGGATATTCCGATTACTATATCTTTGTTTTATTCTTATCAGCTAACGTTTCATGCTTATTTCACATGTGTCTGGTAATCTTTGAATTTATAGGAATTTATTTTATTAACTTACACCCCATACTTTTTTTTATCGACTTAGCCAATCGTAGTGTTCCCGAGCTAGGGGCGAGTTGCCAGTTTGTCTTTTTCTTAGACTGGATAGAGTGTAATGACGGTCTTTTCTGATATTTCTTAGCAAGGTGATCGTCTTGGTTGCGTGTAAGCAAAGACCATTTTTAGTTTTTGATGCTACTTTTCCTAACTTGTACTGATGTATTTCTCCTGTTTTTAACTACAAGGCATTTGCGTTTGCATGTATGCGTGCGTGATTTAAAAAGATATGCTTATGTGTGTATTTGAAAAGGGGTGCTTATATATGTGCTTTCGTGGTGTATTTACACATTTCGCAAATACTATTAATTAAATACCATCAACTGTCATTCTCTAGTTGGCGCCATAGAACTGAATTATGACAATATATTATACTTAATGGAATACCGTGAACATTTACCCACATAAAAAAAAGGATTTAGTGAATCAGTCAATTTTCTCACGATGCTTCCTGATTCCAAAATCGTTATTACATTTTGCATTTGTCCCGAGACCAAATATGACAGGCGACTTTGCGGCTACGTTATGTAATTTAATGGGAGTTATTTCTGGGCAAATTTTCCCTGTCGTCATTGGAAAATACTGTACGTTTGGACTGGAATTTGAAAAATGGATGTAATAAACGTTATTGGATGGTACGTTTGCCTTTTTTTTCAAATTTTCTGTGTGTTTGTGTGTGTGTGTGTGTGTGTGTGTGTGTGTGTGTGTGTGTGTGTGTGTGTGTGTGTTGTGTGTGTGTGTGTGAGAGTGTGTGAGTAAGTGTATGTGTGTGTGAATAAAAAAGAAAAAATAGTAATAAATAGGACATTGAAAATATAGGTGAACAAATCGAACACACACACACACACACACACACACACACACACACACACACACACACACACACACACACACACACACACACACACACACTACTTATTATCTTTTATGTTAAAGTAACTACTACTATATGTAAATTTTGCGTTGCCTGTATATTAGTTATTAAAACAAATGTAACATAGTAGCATTCGTTAAGTTCTTGGAATAGACAAAATATGTCTATTTTTCTGAATGTATTTTTCTTACTGTTTTCTGTACACGCCGGCAATTGATTGCTGGGCACAATAAGTGAGAGAGAATACACTAGTGCTTTTCTCTTGGTACATTATGCCAAAGTGTTACAGGTTTTACTAAAGATATCTTGGATGTTCGTGGTCCAGCTAAAAGTAAAGTCTGTTTTTACTTCATTATCACTATCATTTATTACTATTATTATCTTCTGTGCTATCGAAGAAACGCTCTCTTAACTGACTGTCCAGGGGTAAGGCCATTGGTTTGTATTTGGTCATCTTTATCATTAAAAAAAGGTTAAAAAGACTTCCTCTTGAGATAAAAGCTGGAGTAGACTTCCCAGCTGCAAAAATTTTATTTCCAATATAATAACATCAGCTGTAACACGGCAGCTTTCCTTGCAAATGCCTAATGGGATTATATTCTTGTAGTAACTGAATTAATTTAGACTGCGAGAGAGAGAGAGAGAGAGAGAGAGAGAAAGAGAGAGAGAGAGAGAGGGAGAGAGAGAGAGAGAGAGAGAGAGAGAGAGAGAGAGAGAGAGAGAGAGAGAGAGAGAGAGAGAGAGAGAGAGAGAGAGAGAGAGAGAGAGAGAGAGAGAGAGAGATCTAGAGAGGGAGAGAGAGAGAGCGAGAGCGAATGACTGACTGACCCTTTCTAATTCCGAATAAGTAAAGATGGATTTATCCAAATATATAAAAGTAAAACGTCTTAAGGTACGAGAAGAGCCTAAAATCAAAATAATATTCGATTAATCTCGCATACGGTCAGTCGAAACACAACTAAATGCATCAAAATGAGGATCAGGAATTCATATCAGAACAGCTAAAGAACAGGAATAGGATAAAAGGATATGAATAACAGATGAATGAAAGCACAAAATACTACGATACCATTCATAACTATTCATAAAAGCTGACATGGGAGATTCTAATAAAGAACATCCAAAAATAAATTGCCTGTTGTGATTGCATAAGCATGAGTATGTGTTCGAAATGCTGAGCTCCGAATATTGCCTTTGTCCAAAATTACTACCAGAATGAACTTCTTCACTGGAAACTCAGTTGATGCAACATGCAACACTTTTTTTTATTCCCTCTTGAATGCATGTCTGATCATAAGTAAATGGAGAAATAAAAAGAGAGAAAACCGGATTACATCTTAATAATGAATCATGATTTTGTTATTGATTGAATTTAAGTTTCTTTAAATATCAGTTGTTATATTCTTTATGTTATATCGTTTCATGCTCTTTGTTTCAGACGTATTCTAGTTCTAATGTCGATATATAGCTTAGGGCATAAATGAAGCGCTCTCCCATGTGCATTAGCAATATACTATATCAAATGAAAATGCATTTTGGAGAAGTCAGTCTAGAGGCAATTCAGGGCAAGATCGCTGAATTGAAATTACAATATGACTTGTATTAAATTCAATATAGTATCCCGTCGATCTCTTTATTGCTACTTTATTTGACTATTAGGAACATTAAGATGTTAATCATGAAATTTCAAATAACTGTCTTTGCATAGAAATGTAATTATAGTCATGACGGGAAAGGGGGTGACGCCGCAATAAATATGGAGTTCTTAAATCAATATGCACATTGAACGTTATTAAAATCCTGAGAGATTATATGATATCTTCATTCTTTCCTTCCATCTCTCTGGGCGAAATGAAGGGAAAATAAGAATTACAAGAACTATAAATAACCACAAAAATGGCAAAATATACGAGTCTC